AAGTCCCTCTCCAGCTTTCCTGTAGGCCCCCTTTAGGTACTGGAAGGCTGCTATAAGATCACCGCGGAGCCTTCTCTTCTGCAATTGTTATCACATTTCGATTACTCTTGCACTCACTGAAATCTTTATGTCATTCCAGGCTGGTCACATCACCTGGAGCAACAGCTGCTGTGGGGTAGGAGCTGCTGGCCATGCCCTGCGCTCCCTCTCGCTGCAGCCACCTGCACAGCAGCAGAACTACGGCAGCCCCCAGCAGCCAGCACAGCTTCCCATAGCCTGCTCCACAGGGAAAATCACAAGCAGAGCTGTGCTTTCCAAAGGGAAGCTTTAGCATGGCTGAGGCAGATGGTTTTGACTGCAAGCCCACAACTTCACTGCTCCTTGAAGACTAGATGTGGCCTGTGGTTTGCCACTAGACTTCCTACGGAGCTGGCCCTATCCAAATAAAACGTTTCTCCCACCGCAAACTTCCAGTGAAACTCGCTCGTGGCATTTTTTAACTACCATTGCCATCTTTTGGAATTTGCCTTTGTGCAATGGAGTTTGAAGAAAGTCAGGAAGGAGAAGGGGAGATGAGGACAGGCAAAGTCTCCTCTGCCTCCCTTAGAGGCTGACCCCAGTGCCATCACAGCAGCCTGCCCTTTCTTTGCGCTGGTGTTACAAGTTTACACTAGAGATCCTTGGTTCAGCCCAGCTGATGACTATATTGTTTATACTCGATGTGGACAATGCTAATTACATCACGATGGCTGTTTTTCATTCACACACACGCCGGGGTAGTAAAATTGATATGGAACCAACCCAGAATGATGGGGAAATTCCTACAAGAGTCAAGTTGGGTGCCAGTGACAAATGATTTCCAGAAGGGCTGGAAAGTGCAGAGTGTAAGGATAATTTTTTTGTCTTTTTTTGGTATTTATTCAAGTGCAAAACATGTGGACTCTTGCCTGAATTCCTCTCCCTATCTAGATTTCAACCAACCAATTAACATTTCTCAGATAGTTCTAATAGTTGGATTTATGCTGATTGTGGGGTTTTTGTTTTAAACAATATTCAATTTAGAGGGGATTACATTTTTTCATGTTACTGATGGCTAAATATATTTTCCCTGCTACCCAGTAAAAACACTGTGAAGCCTCAGTTCTAGTTTCAAAATCATATATAGACATACATATGCATGTGTATACTAGTTGGTGAGGAATGAATTTGTTGAGCAGTGAGGGTCAGGGCTACACCGGCGGCTGAAATGTGTTATTTATCAGCAGATCATTACAGCCAGCACGGCACAGCATGTGAGCTTCCTCACACCACTCTGCCAAAGCTTCCCACGTGGCTGACCCGCCTGCTGACTCGAGCTTCAAGGAGCTTCCAGTCTCCATCTGGGGATTCAATCTCACTGCGCTGCTTGTGCCTATGTGATTGCCCAACTTTTCCTCTCCCTCGGCCCCAGCACAGGAAAATAAAACTCTAAAGGCCTGACTCAGAGACAAAGTTTCTCCACAGACAGCTCTGCTTTCTCCCACTGATTTGAGTGGGAGAAGCCTGGGATGTGACTGCCACCCCCTCCTTGTATTTTGCCAATAATATGAGTTGCTCAGCACACAACTACGCAGACCTCACGTAAGTTGTAATACCTGTAATTTGAATAATTTGCTGTCCAGCCAGTGACTGTCATTTATAAATGTTCCAATAGAGGGGATCTATAGGAGGGGAAAAAAGTGGATTGATTTGCTTTGAACATCTGGGGTATTTTATTACCAAAGGGTTCAAAAAACTAACCTACCTTAAAATACTGTGTGCTTTTCCTTTCTGTGTCTCCCTTTTTTTTTTTTTCTGTCCCATCTTTAAAAACTTTTCAGGCAATGAGGACACCTGATTTTTTTTAAATCAGAGGTGTCCAGAAAATGTAATGTCCTTGTCCATTTTTCCTTATTAGAACATGTTTCCTAAAATATCACCCAATGAGTATACAGAGATATTTTAAAAGACCCTAAAACCTTATTTATATTGAGAGTTTTATGCTGGAGTTTGAGTTTTCATAGGGTATTAGACTTGTCATTTCATTAGCCCTAAATGACATATCCAGGTTATAGGCAAAGAGCTGTGCCTCTCCCCAGGAGATCCAGACCATCCCGGCTCTGCTACCATACCTAATTGTAGAGGGTAGAGTTCAACTGAGCAAATGGAGGTACCAGGAAACTTTAAAATTCAATACACAGACACACTGTGGTGGATATTTATACAGTGGAGACAGCGCTCAGACTGAGTTTAGCTCTGAACTTTTTATGAGACAAGTACTTTCCAGTCTGCGATGGCCAGACTGCTTCAAAGAGATCTGCAAAAGGCAGCTAAGGAGAATAAGCACATCAACATTTTACATCAGCCTACATATGTGAAATGTGAAGTAAAAGGGTCTGCAACCTTTAATTGAAGAACTGTAGGATTCTCAAAACAGAAAAGATGAAAAACACTGATTTTAGAGAACAAAACAACAAAATATTTTCTATTCTTTGGGAAAATCCAGTAGTCAAGGAAAGGCAAGCAGAGCTACTCAAAGAAGCCAAAGAAAGACTATATATTTAGTTAATGAGAAGTAGATGAATAAGAGATATCGAGAAGATCAAAATGCCAGTTTTGTCAATCAGGAATAGCTCGAGACAGCCAGTGTTAAAAAGGCAAGAATCATGTTCTCACTTCACCTCAAAATTTTCATTCATCTGCTGAGTTGCCTAAACCTTACACTTACCAACCTCAGAATAACATGTGCAAAGAACTTAGCTGTCACAATGCTCAGACACCTATCACACCAACTGTATATGCCAGTGCAGAAGATAGAAAGGAAAAATATTTTGGAGACTTCCTTCAAGACTACAGAAAGGTGCTGAGCAACAAGAACTTGTCAGACATTGACTTGATCTGAGAGCCTTTCAACTGGTAATGTTAACAATAATAACCATAATTTGATGAATAATAATAATTTGATGAATAATATTAGCAAATAATCATTGTAAGTAAAAAAAAATAATTATGCTAGTAAGCAGTGATCATCTGAATAATCCCAAAGAGACTGAAAATCCTAACTGAAGCAAACTGAAAAGCTGGAAAGGGCGGCAGTGAGTGATCTTATAGCATGTCACACACAGGAAAAGAGAGAAGAAGAAATTGTAGCATTTGGAAGAAAAACTCTGCTTTTATGCATTCTTGAGTGATTCAGCAGTGACTCTCATTTTAGAGGTACTCATCTGAATTCAAGGTTTTCCCAATGGGAGGACTGATCATACAATGACGGAGCCATTTCAGTCCTAGCATCTTTTAGAGATATTTAGTGCATGCATTGAAAACCAATGTCTTGCATCTTGCTCTGCACTGCTGAAGATTATATTTGTTTCAGCAATTTGCTTCTCCTTGACGTTTTAAAAATAAAATTAATTTGCAGCTGATTAAAAAAATAATCTTCAATGGGATTCCCCTGCAGATGATGTCTGCATTTCTTTTGCTATTCCTCCTGGGTCCAGGCAGACACATTTGTGAAACAACTGGATCATACATTAAGTGGAGAAGACTCAGAAATTGGTGCTTTTGATGGATATACAGACCAGATAAACATGAGTCTGAGAGCCCAGCACCTTCCATTGAGAATACTCTACTGCTGTGGTCTAGAATTTTAAATGTGCAGCAAAGACTTCTCAGGAAACCACCTCACAAGATGTCAGGCACTTCTGCATTAAGAAAGTGAGTCTGCCAAGGCTCTAGCACAACACAGTTTTCTAAAATAAATTAACTGAAAACAGTACCTTCATATGCTTCCAGAGATGAACAGCAGACAAATACTAGAAGTAGTAAGAGGCCTGCATTATTGTGTTTACTGAAATTTGTAGGTGATGTTGTGTATGAGACCTGGTTAGGGAACTCTGCTTGTTTTTTAGCCAGTCTTTTCAACAAACACGACAAACTGCTATGCTTTGCTGCATAAGACTTCCCTATCTACTACAGGTGCCTGAACGAGTATCTCCTGAAGAGGCAGGGAAGGACGACGTAACTCTGGAGCAGTACTGCACACCTGTGGGACTTGCAGCTTCCTAAAGCCACACTACTTACCAGTGCTTCTGCTGCCCTACATTCTTTTGTACACTCCATTTCAAGACATCCTATGTGCTTTTCAGGCTGATATGCTACAGTACAAATGTCTAAGAAATACGAAGTCGCAATGCAGTCTCTATGGAATAATTTAATGTTAAGTATTTCTCAAATAAGGTCTTAACGCTGGTGAACAGGAATCTTGGCGGCTGACTCAGTGTCAGGAATGAATTCACACGCCATGCTTACATGCTGTTTAATGCGGAACAGCCACACTGAGTTTCGCAGGTCGCCATCACTTCAGAATACTTTTTCTTGATCTGTTTATGTGTTTAACCTAAACACAGCCTCAGATCTCATGCTGTGGGAACTAAGTGGCCATGTCCTTGGTACGAAGGATTGCTAAAGATTTTACCAGTTGCAAATCCTGTTGTGATTTCCTAGGAAAGGGAAACTGAAAACGTTGTTTGAGAAAACAATTAGGAGGGTTTAAACTGCAAATTTCCCATAGCCTTACAAGAAGTGCAAACAATAATCATAGTGAATCAAACCCTAAAATCATTCTTCTTTAGGTGCTGTGACACGTAGATAAATATATTCATAAATTTAGTAAAAGAAACTTGAAAAAAAAAGCCTCATTCTCATGTTAATATCTACCAAATGGACTCATTGTGACACAAAAAAGCAGATCAACTTTCATCAAAAGTGACACAGACAAGTTATTCTTGGATATCATTATGCCTGCTACATCCAACAATTAGTTCAGTGAATTTGGTTTACGAGTCGTGTAAAGTACATCTGCTGGCGACATGAGATTTACACCTGTGGTGAATACCTCATGTTGCTAATTATAGAAAAAATGGCCACAGTGTCCTCACAATAAAGTTTTGGTTGAAGTATGAAAGGAACAGTTTATTCCCTACCTTCTCAGCATCTTGCTCAAAAAGCCGGAGTTGAAAGCACTGGTCCAGTTTCAACTTGCGGACATGCCACATCTGATGTAAGTGTTGCCGGGTAGAATGCAGCTTGTCTAAAAGGCTGGTGATCTTTGGCACAAGACTTTGAAAATCTGCACTTCCAGGAATGCAGTTCCTACCGGAAAAACCATCACTGCATCTTATGCATTGTAACAACCTCTGACCCTCACGATCCAGTTCTTCCACAGGAGCTTTAATCACTTTTTTCTTAAGCTGCGTGTGCTCATCAATCAGCCTTCTTGAGCCCTCAACATCAACCGGAAACTCCTTCCTAGCCAACATTTCCTGGAGATCCTCCAGCCTTGATAATAAATGGATGGCACTGTTGAAAAACTCTTCCAAGGAGACACGCAACTCTATCCATTCATCGTGGTTGTAATCCAAGGATCCTTCAAACTCATCCGTCAGTTGAGAAGGATCAACGAGTTTTGCCAGGCCTTCAACAGATACCATACTTGTCTAAGGAATGGAAAATGAGAGCATTTGAATCAGTGACTGTCTAATCAGAAATAACAGTGCAATGCATAAATAGCCTGAAGGGATTATTTCCTCATCAATACGTAATTGAAGGAAAGTTGTAAAAAACGCTGAGGACTAGGTTTAGTTTTGATGAATTAATTGGACTGAAAATTTTTCTATTAATGGCACGGATTTATTTCTATATTAAAAGACATGATATTTACTGGGATATGTCTATCTTTTTCAGCTGGCCTGACTATCAAAAACATATCATGAGAATGCTTCTGCCATAGATCACTTTAACCCAGTCGGACGCTGAGGACTTCTAACTGCAGCTGTTGGATATCTGGACATGGTTGTTCACTAACCAGGTATATGGTATTATAGGGATTCTCCTACTGCCAAAATGCAGACTATGCTGGGTTTTTCTTCCAGATTATTGTAGTTGGCTTTTGCCACAGGAAGATCTCTTTCATATCAGTAATTTCTAATGTAATTAAGCCAAAATCAATGTAAAAGTGAAATGTCATTGGAATATTAACAATTAGAATTTATTGCTAATAGGAAGTACCGCTCGTGAATCATACACAATCAATGAGAGATGGTTTTAATTCATTCAAACTCAGCAATCGGTGATAGAGAAATGCACTCGGTGCCTGGAAAGCAGATTACAGTTTAAGGACACAACTGATGGCTGTTCCCATCTATTTTAGACAAATTATTTTTTTCTGAAATATGAGCATAGGGTTTCATATGCTACCAGAGATTTTCAGTGCTGTCATGTTAACACCCAAGTTGGTAGCCCTTAAAGGCTTGTAATGTTCATCAGTGACTGCACATCTATGCCCTCAAGATCTAGCCTCTAAAGAATGTCAGAGTTTGTGCTCTTTAGAAATGGAGGCCCTCAATAGTTACAGCAATCTTGTAAAAGTAATCTACACAGAAAAATACTTCAAGTACTGTCCATTATCCTGAATTATGTCCAAAATAGCAGGCTGCCCACTGGTTTAAAGCTAATAACAGGCCTTTATTCCAATTTGTATCTAAAAATATAAGGCATTATATTAATTATATAAGGAATTATATTAATATGTTCTGCAATGTATTAAAATTCAGATTGTATTGAATTTACACTCAGTAGAAAGATTACATTCAAATTTTCTTGAAATGTTCCTTGCTGTGGGGAAAGGATAGGACAGAGGGAAGAGTCAACAAATAATAGGAAGGTAAGCATGGAGCTTCAGAGGGATTTCTAATTTCTAAACCTCTTGACCTGGACACTGACCCCTTGAAGATAATTCAGTTTAGAGTTTAACTGCCTGTCAAGAAAAGACTTCTCTTCATGGATAATACCTGGGCATTCCCCTGCAGCGTGTCAAGTTAATGCAAGCACTGCTCTTATCACGTACAGAATTTGACATGATGATATAGCAGAAAGGCTTTTCATTTGACGACTTCTGCAGCTAAGTTCTTTATTCAGATTTGTTTCTTTAAAGAGTTCTTGAAACTCTCCCGAAAACAACCTTAGTTAGGCAGGTAGGTGGTAAGATAAAGTAACTATCTCTCAGGCATCACCTGTATTTCTTTTAGAAATCACTTTAAAAAGCACTGCCCACTATTTCAATCCTTTTGGCAGGAGAAATAAAATAATCTTGAAGGCACCTCTGAATTAATGCTAACTAAGCTGCTTGGTCCATTCCTCAAAGTGACAGGAAGCTTTGGAGTCCACATACGTCAACCGAATCCTTTTTTAAACTCTTTTCTTTGTGTGATGATCTGCGAGCATGCTTCTCTCTCTGAACTGTGACACAGAATCATTCTGCCAGAGTCTCACAACACAAAACCCAAATCATTAGCCTCCACTAAGGGTCATACACTGCCCTGGCACATGCATAATGCTGCCATTAAGCTCAAAAGCAGAATCTGGCCTTAAAACTGACACTGGTTACTGCTGAGTTTGTAGATTGGGTTATTCAATGGAGACTTCCATTGCCTTCCACTGCAGTCTGTTCCTGCCAAGGGCCTCGTGTTTGATCACAGCTGTGGGACATCACCACAATGGCTCAGTGCAGAGAGGGTACCTGTGTACTGCCACACATAAATCAAATAAATGTGAGTCATATTGACCTGCGATGCTTGTTTGATATTCACAGTCCTTCTTAAGAGAGAATATGAGCCGTCCCAGAGCCTGAGCCTACCTATAAGCAGCAGCACCCACAAGAATCCTTTAAAACAGAAGTTCCTGGATTGTGGTGTGTGTATTACAGGGCATCTGCTGTAAAGTGGACCTTAGCTTAAGAAGTCTTTTTAAATCATAGAATTGTGATTTAAAATCAGTTTTGAGTGTCTGCAGATGGTCCAATAGACAGCAAAAGCACTGACTCTCCTCCTCTGGTCCAAAAATTTGGGAACCATTACAGAAACCATTACAGACACCTATGTGAACAGCCCAGCAGACAGACTAAGGCTCAAAGGCACGCACACAAAATGAAAATACCCTTGATGCATGCCAGCATGTAAAGCAAACGAGTCCAGAGCTTTTAACACAATACAGACTCAGAGCTGTAACTAGGAAGAATAGCTTGACTGCAGTTTACTCTTCACTATCATCACAGCAACTCCATACAATAAAAAAAAAGGTCAAGCCTCTAGAAAGTACTAATTCATTTTAAAAACAAACAAATGTTCTAAAAAAAATATATTTGAACTCTGTTACTTTACTTCTAGGATTTGAAGCTTTAAGAAGATACTGCTTTTGTTCACTAAAGCACTGGGAGACTGAAATTCAGTGTTGGATACACACGCATAAGCTGTCTTTTCATGGGCTACTGTGGGACTGGCCCTTAGTGCCCATTTATATTTTAAACAGAACTCCCCATCCCCAAAAGCTATTCTATTACTAGTCTCTGCACAGGCTTCCTCCTGCTGCACGTTCTTCTATACTCAAATGTCTCCTTTCTCCTTCCCACTGCCCCAATCCCGCTCATTCCCCACAGGCGGCATTGCCAATCTCATTGCACTGTACAGGCAGCCACTTCTGCCAGGAGCAGTGATTTCAGTAAGTGTGAGGAGTCTTTGGAGGTGACATAAAACTATACTGAAGGCAGCCTTGCTTTGAAAAGCGCATAGGGGATAGCAAGTGGAAGTTATTTTCATGGCTGAGTCCTTATAGGTAACCAAAGAAGGTAAAGATCCATTTAAACAAAGCAAAATATATGGGATGACTGGTTTTTGTGAGACAGAGGGGAAAAAATGTACAAATACTTAAACTGTGATAACAGTATAAAAGTTTGATAATGCTTAACACCAATCTAGTTGTCCATTGCAATTCGAGTGCTTTTGAGAAGAGGTTGAAAACAAGGACATATTTCTATAACAATGACTTCAACAGATCTTAAATATATACTTAAATACAGTTTTCCATTGCAGTCAGCATTAAGAACTACAGCCAAATTCTCTTCTGAGATCCAGAGATGCAAAATCTGAGTGTCTCTCTGAAATTAATGGATTGATAAGTAAGACAGCCAATGATAGAATTGTTTCTCAGCAAATTTAAAAACAGCAACACATGATAACTCATGACAGGGCATGACTGATCTGTGAGCATCTCATGCACCTGAGCTTTGCTTCTCTTTGGGTAAGAAACTGAAATTCACAGAAAACTGAAGTGCACTAAGAGAGCACAGCTGGCTTGTCTTCACCAATGACAAAGTTAGTAAAATTCCCTTTCATTATGCAGTTGTTGTATATTGCTTACTTCTCAAAGAACCTGACTTGGGCACCTTATCATTAACATGAGTTGTTAATGTCACCCCTGACTTGTAAATCTCAATTAAATTAAAGCAGTGGCAATATATAGATAAATATAGTATAAATGACTTTTATTAAAAAAAGCCACCACCTGAAGTTGGGTAGAGGTCAACTAAGAAACCCATATGTTGCCATCCAGAGAACTTTGTCTTTAGTATATTGACTGATTCGATGGGATTTTTTTGTAAGAGAAACAAAGGAAAGCCTGAATGTAACACCACCAAAAATAAGTACCACAAAAAAACCCTCAACAAAGCGAATTATGTATGTGAACCTCTGAGATGAAACGTCCATCCTGTTCCACCAGTGAGCTCATAAGGCAATCTGATGCCAGGGCATCAGCCCACTCCTGCAAACAGTCCTCAGATGTCTTTTTTCCTCTCAATCATAGGGCTTGGGACTTTTTTTTACCTGAATAAAATTTTGTATCAGAGATAATGCTTTCCCATACATCTTTCATATGGCTCTCACCTCAAAGATGAACTTGGAACTGCCAAAGTTTGTCTTCTGCTTCTGCCAGAAATTATCAGGTTTTATAATCAGGGCAACATGAATCTCAG